ATAAACATTGAAAATGAACGTTCTCAAGGTCTCAATAGAGAAGTCTGTATAAGTAATGAAATAATAGATTTGTACCCAGATTAGCTCAGAATAATATATTGCAACAATTTCCAGGATATACAGTATGTGTTAGAATAGAGCCTTCTAGCTCTTTACTGACAAATGTATTATCCTTATATCATAATAAATGTGCTAGTCTTTAGGATGCCAAGGATTCCTTGGCACATACTACAGTTAACAGGGCCATGTTGAATGAGAAGGAGTCCATTACCTCTGGAAAGACCAATGTTGGGAAACATGCTTGATTTATACTTTTTTACTGAGTGTATACTTTCCCATATTCAGGAAAGGTATCTCAAAGCATCTGATATGACAATTGTCTGTAAGGAGAAGAGGCAGCAAATTCTTCATTTATCAGATGCAAGAATAGTCAGATAAAACCTCTTTAACTAGTCCAAATTTGTATATTAATTTATAGGAACTGGGATTTAAATCCCAATTACATTTCATAAAGCAGCTCTGATCAAGGGTATTTTATGATACAACCAGGTTTAAACTGAAGTAGGAAATCTCTTGTCTTAATAAAGTTATGCCTGTCTTTCTGTGCTTCACGATTTATTCTCCAGGCTGCAGCACTAAATATTTCACTATTTAAATCTCATTGAATTTAGTTGGCCTAACCATCTCTACTTCGCGTCTTGCCTCTGGATGAAACATAAGACCGCCTTCCATTGTTAATTTGAGGGAAGGTAAGACCTCAGACCTCTAGGCATTGTAAAGCTGGCAGCAGCTTTATATTAGGGCAACAGTCAGTAATTTTGTAGACTTAATATGGGAATTTAATTAGTTTAAAAAAAAAACAAAGACAGGAGCCTGGTTGTCATATTAAATATTAAAAAAAAAAAAACCCTGTAAAGTCTTGTGGTTTGAGGCTGAAACTGAGCCTTACAGCTCCTTGGATCTACAAAAGCGTTAATCATTTTGCTGACACAGGGGGGCCTCAGTAGAGGTCTATAGCTTTTAGTGGAATTTTTGCAGGGAGAAAACTTTACAATCAATATCTAGGAACAAAATGTTATATATTTATATTAATAAGAGGAGGAGATAATTGCTGCAAAGATCATTATATTCAATTGCAAACTGGAAAAACTAAAATTAAGCAAGTTCTAGTTTTAACTTTGTTTTGTTTTTTCAAATCTTTTTAATTGGGCAGAAATAAATTAGCCAGTTGTGCCAAAGTTAGCATTAACATTAAGGCAATCCTAGGACTGATGCTTTTTCATTTGTTTTTTCTTCTTCTAAAGGGCAGTTACCTGTTCCCATCAAGCTTTTAAAACTAAAACTGCATCTGAAATTTGTGTGGTGCATAGATATGTGCCTACAATAATTCCAAGTCCTTAGACATTGCCCAATCTAGGTCTCTGCAAGCATTTTTTTTTTTTTTTTTGCTTCTCCTGCTACACTTAAAATGCTTTAATCTGCATAGAAACCAGTATGGTTCCACTGGCATCAGAAAGAGTTCTCCTTGGCCATTTTCTTATTGACTTCAGCTACTGTGTTCCTACGACTCACTGGTGCTCTTGATGAACTTTCAACAAGGTGGAAAATTAAAATCTCACCTGAGCTATATCGCTGTGGCCTTTCCTATTTATTCTACTGTACCTCGGAATAGAGAGAGCTAAAGCCAAAATGGATCAAAGAATCTTTGATATTGCATGGGTGCTATAAGCTAACTTTCAGTGGTGGCTATCAATACTCAAACTACTTACTCAGTCTTGCTTGCTCAGCACACTGTAGAGCCTTTCTTTTGGCTCATTTCAACACTTTACCCTCTGCAGTACTAGTTGGAAAGCACAGTGCCTCCACATTGTCTGAGTATCAAATCCAGTCTCCTGGTTCTAACTCAGTGCCTTTAACCATTGCACCAAACTAGGTCTCAGGGTTATGGTATTAGGAAGGGTTTGTTTTCTTTATTCTGTTTCAATTTCATCTTCTATTTTATCTTGTTTATCTTGTATTTTACTCATTTTTTTCCTATGAAAATCGCATGAAAATATAATGTCCAATGAAAATAGGAAGGATGCTATGTAATGTTTCAGATCATACTTCCACAGGATTTATAGTAACTGAATTTACCATAATACATTGAACTATTTACAACACATACAATGAATCTACAATAGTATTATTGACATCATACTCATCAACAAAATGGTAATATGTCCTGGTGTCAATGTTGACACTAAGATGACAAGCAATTGATAACAGATCATCCTCACTTGGAGTGGGATGAGTTCTTGACCTTCCCTGCAGTGCAAGTGTGCAGGTGTGTAGAAGTCTGTTCCATACCCTTTTCTAGGTGGGTCTATGACAAACTTGCCACAGCCAACTTGCTACAGCCAATTCGCAATGGCCAACTCACCTCACTGCTGTAGGACATGAGTTACACTAATTCAAAGAAATAATGGAATAGAATCATTAAAGAAAGGAGGGACAAAATGAAATATGAATGGCAAACATTGAAATAATTAAACTGAATTGTTGAATTGTCCCCCAGTGAATTGTCCCTTGTCAAGTTGGTCATGTTGAGTTGTCTCATGTCGAGTTGGCCACGGTGAATTGGCCATGGCAAGTTGTCCATGGTGAGTTGGCTGCAGTGAATTGCCCCATTCCATTTCTTAGTTATGTGCAGAACTGTGCATATCCTTTTTAATTTGCTTTGACAATTTTTGCTATGGTTTTCATATATTTTCATATATTATGGACATCAGGGTTAATTTCATAATGAATTAAAGAATAACTGGGTAAATTATCTTTCAGTATTCTCCATATGTGAAAAAGATTTATGTTTCCTATATACAGTTCTTTATTTTTTTTTAACCTAATAGTATGTGGCTTGGCTGACTTATTTTAATTATCTGCTGCACATATAAATTTGCAAATCACTTAGTTCCTGTGTATATGGAACTAACTAATAGCTATATATTTTAATGTGGGTCATTTGCTTCATGTTTTTATTTGTGGACCCTTGTTCCGATGGCATTAATTTTTGATTATACAATAGTGATTTACCTTAAATGATCAAACATATTCTTGTCCTCTGGTCTCCACGCAACTTAATTTGAGAATTGGAACTTTGTCGTCGTGCCTATTTTTTCCCTCTACTTGTACAATCTGAGTTCATTATATTCAGCATTTCTCCACCCCCTCTCTAGTATATTAATTGCCTTGAATATATTCGGTGTCTATGTATAAAATGCCAGGTGTGACAGAATCAAACATAGATGTGATGGTTTCCTTGTTTACTCATGTTTGATAGTACTTTGCTCTGTTGGACTCATGTAAGGAATGTGGCAGTTTAAAAGACTCCATTTTCAATAATCAGTGAACATCCTGTATTTGATAGTCCTATTGTTCCCTACCATGTATTTTTCCGAGGGCTTTTCAGGATGACAAACCTCAATTTTTCCAGTGTGGTACTGTCAGTGTCATTATAAAGGCAACCATGGGCGAAACTGGGCAAGTATGAAATGGTAAGAATGCTTGAGGCAGGCAGGGAGATTCTCTAATAGCATGACTACTATTTTTCATTTGAAAACAAGTTCCTCTGAATTTGCTGCAGCTGGAAATTGTTAATAGTTTTCAACCTAATATTTTCACCTAATTCTTTCTTTTCAACTGAAAAAAAACCCTGCATCATAATAGTCTGGTAAATGTAGGCATATATTTCTTTGTCCTCCTTTAACATGATAAGGCAGAACTGAATGTGTTTGGTGCATTTTCTTCAAGCCTAAATAATCTGCATAACCTGTGCAGTACAAAACGATCACTGTGTTGCATTATCAGTCATTTAAAAGATAGTCCACTGTTATAGAATAACTTGACATATGAGTCTTATTCCGCAGTTGAAAAATATCTCCACAGAACTCAACGCATCAAGCTCAGGTGCTCTGTGCTGTTCCTCACACACTAATTTGGACTTGCAAAACATTGTTGGATAACACATGTGACCCACAAAGAATGTGTTTGTGCAAGCATGCAGATTCACACTTGTTCATGGTACTTTTCAGCAGTACCTTGAAACTGCTTTTTTCCAGGCCTGCCCTGATCTACTTCAGGGTTTAGAAATCTTGTGAGTACATACACAGTATTATGGCCAGTCTCCTGGGTATCAGCACTGTACAATATAGAAGAGCACCAGTTCCATGTAATGGTTTTATTCCCATAGTCACAATCTTTTAAAGCATAGTTCTTCAGGCATTGCGGAAATATCACTGCCGAACAATAATTCCCAGAATGCTAATGTTCAGAGATGCTGAAGACTGTAATTCAGCAACATGTAGAGGAACACCCATTCTCCAACTCTAAAAGGTATTAGTTTGAAAAGCCATCCCAACATGTGCAAAGCTTCTAAAAGTTTCAATATTTGATGAAGTGCTCAGTATTCAATAAAGCAGAAATGCTTCTTTATTCCCATTGGTATAAGTAATAACAAATACATTGATTAACAAATGTATACAAAATAAACTGAGATGCTAACTTTGGCAGGATGTTGGAGGTAAGCACTTTACATGTGAAGACCATGTGATTCCCCCCAAAAATCATCTTGAGGGATGCTGGCAAGCAGTTCACACAAAACAAGAGCTCTATTCAGCCAGCTAATTAGTAAGCATGGCAATTACTAAAGTAAATTTTACATTTGACAAACCTGTTCTAATTCATTCTCATTTCAGCTATCTCACTAATAAAGACATAGTCAGACTGGACTAATTGTTCCTTACCATACCTCTGTTGAAATGTTAGTGTTTGCATATTCATCTCCAAAGCTTCGTGTTATCTACTAAGCAAGTTGAATTGTCAGTGATGATAACTAATGTAGGGGTGAAGAGAGGAATTTTAGGATGCTTCTGACTTGGGTTCTTCTCCCCCCACATCCCCAATTTGCAGAGCTCAAAAGGTGGCATTTCTAAATCCTCTTTCTTCTGACTTCTGTTTTTCAGTCTAACAAGGTTCCCGTAGTACAGCCATCTCATGGGGTTCATCCACTCACCCCACTCATCCCATATAGCAATGAACATTTCAGCCATGGCTCCCATTCACCACACCTGCCAGCTGACATCAACCAGAAACAAGGTAACTACTGTAATTCTTCACCTCTTCTGTGATGCTAATCTTGGGGGGGCGGGATGTGCTTTAAAAAGTGTGTACTGTGGGGCATTTAGCCATAGTCATGAAGTTTGGGGTGCCTGCCACAGACATTTAGTTTCCAACTCTGTGCTTCATAGGGCCTCTGCCCATTTTTACATACCACCTTCATGTGTCTTGGAAGTTGAACTGCATGCTTTGTACCAACAAACATATTCGCTCTGGACAGAGAAAAGGAATAAGTATGTAATCTTGGTGGTGGTGGTGGTGGGGTTGAGGCCATATTTTTCCTTTCAGAGTTCCTCTGATCTGATACTAAACCTTTGAGATATATAAAACAAAGTATTTTAACCAAAGAAGCACTGTGCTTTAATACTTAAGGATGGACAAGCAGATTGCAGGTCACTGGGAGTATCTATAACTCTGCAGTTTAGGAAATTAAATGCCTTATTGCCTCAAATCCTATTTATAATAGAAAAAATGGCACTATGTTCCAGTTTTCAGTCCTCTATTATAACAGTCAGTTAATAGAAGTTCATATCTTCAGCTAACATATCTTGGTTAATCATGAGTCTTTCTGAAGAGTGCATTTGGCCTCTAGAAATAGCTCAACCCACATTTATTGCATTGTCACAAACCCTAAAGGTATACAGAACATTTGTTGTTGGGACATTCAGATAACAGATAATCAGAGTTGAAAGGGATCTTGTAGGTCATCTAATCCAAGCAGGAGACCCTACACCATTTCTAAAAGGTGGGAGTCCAATCTCTTCTTGAAAGTCTCAAGTAATGGCACTCCCACAACTTCCGAGGGCAAGCTGTTCCATTGGTTGATTGTTCTCACTGTCAGAAAGTTTCTCCTTATTTCCAGGTTGAATCTCTCCTTGTTCAGTTTCCATCCATTATTCCTTGTCTGGCCTTTGGGTGCTTTAGAAACTAGCTTGACCCTTCCTCTCTGTGGCAGCCCCTCAAATACTGGAACACTGCTATCATGTCTCCCCTGGTCATTCCCAACATATACAGGTAGTCCTCAACTTAAAACCACAGTTGAGCCCAACAATTCTGTTGCCAAGCGAAACTTTTGTTAAGTGAGTTTTGCTCCATTTTACGATCTTTCTTGCAACAGTTGTTAAGTGAATTGCTGCAGTTGTTAAGTTAGTAAGACAGGTTGTTAAATGAATCTGGCTACCCCGTTGACGTTTGCTCATCAGAGGGTCACAAAAGGTGATCACAGGACCCCGGGACACTGCAACCATCATAACTATGATTTAGTTGCCAAGTATCTGAATTTTGATCATGTGACCCTGGGGATGCTACAATGGTCATAAGTGTGAAAATGTCCTAAGACACTTCGTTTCAGTACCATCGTAACTTTAAACAGTCACTAAATGGACTGTTGTAACTATCTCTATTTCCATTGATTGGAAACCCAGTTTCTAGATCAAGAAAGATTGATGTTTTTATAATGGAAAAAGAAATTTGGTACATTGGGGCTGAACTGTTTAGATCCAAAAATGATCTAATGATCTTCAGGAGTATCATCATCATCATCAAAATAATGAAAACATTCAAGATCTCAATCATGAGTCTCTTGCTTTTCATTTAGAGAATGAGAATTGCTTCTTTGAATGACTAGATTTAAGCTGTAAATTGTAGATTTGATGAAACCACAGCTTTACCTGTTTGGGATTTAATTTTTATGAACTATCCCACAGCATTTCAGTATGATTGGGTGAATTATTCAAATATAGTGAAGGCTAAAAGCAACTTAATTCAGTAGTAGTTCTATGGAACTTCTTCAAAGCTTGTTATAATGTATGAGAACTACTAGACCACAACTCTGTTCCTTGTGACATCTTCCTCTGGTGGACTACTTACTATCAAGGAATAAGTCTTTAAAATTTCATTATAAATTAATTTTCTGATTTTAATAATGGCTTCATTCGTATTGAATGATAGCATTAATCCATAAATTAAGGCATATAATCATGATATTTCTACACTAATAAGAATATCAAACTAAATGAGACCATGGTACAAAAATATCAAAATTGAAATATGAAATGAACAACTGAGATGTTTGATTACTCTGTTTCTTGTAACCAACTCTGCTGTCACAAGACAAAACAAAAGTTAAATAACTGACTGATCAAAATAAGGATTAATGAGGGTATACAGTATATGTTTTTGCATATACTTTTGGGACTGCTTTTTTAAACTACATGGATGATTTTTTCTTAATAAAATGAACTAAGGGATGCATTTTTATATATAGGCAAGAAAGCTACAGATGCACCCAAGAATAAATGCATGACCCTCACTTTGTCTATAAAAGTCTTTGTTTGAGATGAAATGGTGGTGAGAGCTAGAATATGAATGGAAATCTTTTTTCATTTATAATTCATAATTTATCCAAAACTCAGGTTCGTAGGCCAAGGCACTTTCACTTGCAGTTTAGTTTCATCATCTACTTACCTACCAATCTTAACATTGAATTACTTACTTATCTACTCACAGAACTAATACAAAGACAGAGAATACCTGGCAAGGTCTGCATAGATTTGTTCTAACTTGGCGTGCTCACAAAGGATTATATAGTAAATGCCTCTTCCTGTTAAGATTATCTTTTCATATAGAAGGAAACAATAACCCTGATCCTGTCAGAGAAGGTATTTTCCATCCTAGCAGAAGGAAAGTATATGAGAAAAGTGATATTTTTCTTTCTTTCTTTTGCATAGTGTCTTTCTCCCAATCTGATTGCCCACTAGAGTTTATTTATTTTTTTTAAAACAAGTTTTATTAATTTCAAAAACAAACAAATCATCATCAACCATTACATATTTGAACCTTTTTCCATTATAAATTTTACAAGTCAGATAAAACCTTATCTTATACAATACAATTCTATTTTAAACCATTTCTAAATGAACATAAAAACATCTCTTGTCCTCTATTTCTTTCTGACTTGATTATCGTCATTTTCTTTCTATACTTCTAAAAGGTTTCACCAATACTTCTCAAACACATAAACAGACACAAACAAACATATAAAAAATCTTTTAGTAAAGTAACTTGGCCCCCGGTACCTCTCTTTATATGGGCTTTAATTATATTCATGCTCATCTTACAGATCATTACCTATTTTATTTACCATTCTGTATCTTCTATATATACTTCTCCACACATTTCACTCTTCATAATTCTATCTTATTCAATCCATCTTAATTTAAATCATTAAATTTGTATCTTTTGCCCATCCTTTATTATCACTCTATCTCATTCCTTATACTGAAAAAAAAAAGAATTTCTCCTGAAATCTCTAATCAGAGTATGATGCCTTTCTATCCTCTCCCTAAATATTAGATTAACATTTAAAATGACACCTAATATCCAATCTGATTCTGCTTGGTACATTCTATCAATTAATTTTTACTTTTAATAACAATAAAAACAGAGTAATAAATCAGAAATGTTTAAATACATAGTATCCTCCTAAATACGTAGTTAAATAATAAATCTAAATAATAAATCTTATAACATTCTAATTGCCTTTCCCTTCAATATTTTATTACATTTTAAAAATCAATCATTATTAAACATTTCAACATTTTAACTTCTTATTAACTCTTAAACCATTCTAATTTTCTATTTCTAATACAAATATTACAATACCGTCTTATGTACCTTGCAAAATCTTTTTTTAAAAAAATTATACTTTACCCTTTATCCCTGAAAAAGATTCCTCTTTTCCCATCCAATTTTAAAACTTTGTGGCTTTTCTCCGCCTTTCCCCTTTCTTTCTCCTCCCACCCGATCTTCCTACCCCCCCTTCTTCTAACCTCTGTCTTGCTGGCATCCCTTCTCTGTTGTATTCCCTTTTTCTCTTGTTTGCTATCATTATATTTATTTTGCATCATATTTTTCTCTTTCTTAAATGTTTTTTTAGATCTTAAGTCCTTCATTTTCCTCACTTTCTTCCTTCCTTCTTCCTTAGGTAAATTTTGGGATTCATTAAAGATGGTGTCTTCGTCTTCTTCTTGTTGTAATTCCATCTGTCGCATTGTCTGTTCATAGTTAACCAGCGCCATTTCTAAAAATAGAAAAGCTTTTTCCATACCATCTTTACAGGCTGCTTTTGTTTGCTCATATTCATCCCTCAGTTCCTCAAGGGAGAAAGCCATTATAAATCTTTTCTTTTCTTTTTTCCCTCTTTCTTTTTACTCCAACCAAAATATTCCAAAAGGAAAATAAGACAATCCCAAAGTCCACAATCCTCAATCAATCCAAGCCAAGCCAAAATTCCCACTTTCTCTTCCAGGGGTAGTATCAGACAAAGGAAAAAAGAAAATCCAAATCTGTGTTTTGAAGCCTTATTAAAAAAAAATTTTTTTTCTGTCTCCAAATCCTTAAGGCATCTCCTCCAACAAAATCCAGCCAGATAGATATATTTTTTGTCCTCTCCCTTCCGACTTATCCCATAAAGCTAGTTTTACCTGAAAAAAAAAAACAGGTTTCTCAATATCCGTTTGTTAATTCCGTCGGGAGGGAGAGTAAACTTTCCTTTCAGCACCTCAGAATTGCCGCTTACTTTCTCTTATGGAAAGAATCATCCAAAAAGCCATCACTTCCAGGAATTAAATTAAATATATCTCAGAGTCCTGGATCGACCAAGAAGACTTTCACTTTTAAAAACTTTCTCCTCTTCCTCCAGCGCATACTTGCCCAGCTGCCGGCTTCTTTGTGGCGGCCATTACAGACCGCCGCTACGCCGTCTTGGTAAAAGGAGGTTCTGCCGGCCAGGGAGGGGGTCTGCAATACCCCCAAACCCTTTTCCGGATCCCCCCTACCTTCAGCTGCCCCTGCAGGGCAGCCTTGCTCCGCACCCTTTCGGATCGGAGCCCCAAAAACGGCTAGCGCGGCAGGGATCGCGCAGCTTCGCGAATCCCTACCGCTCGCAAAGCCGACAAACCGGAAACTCGGATTGCCCACTAGAGTTTATATATTGCCCTTTGGGTCTTCCATGTGCATTTTATCTCATATGCTCTAGACGCAATCCATACCCACAATGCAATATTATGTTTTAGAGCATAGAGTAAAATAGAGTAGAGTAGAGAGAGTAGAGTAAGAATAGAATAGAATAGAATAGAATAGAATAGAATAGAATAGAATAGAATAGAATAGAATAGAATAGAATAGAATAGAATAGAATAGAATAGAATA